TTTTTTAATTTTGCCCATGCTTATTTACATTGCAGCTGCTTTGGTTCATAACATCCCCACAAACGTTTGTTTTTCTTCTGAAATTATAAAAATATTTTCATTTAAACACTCGTTGAGAACTACAATGCTATGAAATTATACGTTTAAGGCATGGGTGACGGTTTAGTTTTGCCATTTTCTTAATTTAGGTATGAATATGAGTAACAAATTTAAAAAAAAGCTGGGACTGAAAGCTAGACTACGTGCACAAGATTGCTATAGAAATGAGACGCTAGATATCGTTCCCGTTTCGGATCTGATTGCAAAATATTGCGGATTCTGTGGAAATTGTCTGTTCCATTTATATCTACCTAATGCAAACATTGTTCTGTTTTGAAATGACTTGTATGAAGAGGCCGGTTACGAAAGAGTAAGCAGTTAGCAGTCACTTGTCAAGACCAAAGTTACATACTCCAGTCCCATACGTGGATTTACACGTGAGTATATGAAAACTTAACTGTCCTTCGCCAAATGTGATTGCTAGTTGATGGCGCTTTCATTATTTTTTTTCTGGCAATTATCAATATTACTTATTAGACAATAGCATGAATAGACTCTAGACTAGTCATTTTCCTAGAATTTGGCCAGGATTTTGCCAACAGTTGGTTCATTGTTAAAAATTAAGAATTTGTCCTGGCTGTTGAATTGAGTGTTGTCGATTCGATTGTGGCCAAATTTTAGTGGAACACTTGCAGCAGGAGTAGAGTAAAGGAGCCGGTAATCGGCCAGCTCCAGTTTTAGGCCGATTGTTGGATGCAAGGTAAAATCACTCTAAAATACATCGCATAATAGCATAAACACATATCCCACACGTACCATACCATGCCAGTGTCACTGAAGAACCACATTTGCGATGAAAAATAGATCTATATCCTAAAATATAACATTTTTTAGCGATGTAATCGGCGGTCCCGCTACCCGAATCTGAAAAATCAAGTATCTACGCGTGTCTGTAAGAAATATGGGTACCATAAAATGAGCTTTATTTCAAGTATTTTTCAGATTTAGAGCCCGATTTTGTGCTAGTCGCAAGCTCAAAAGTATCTCATCGCATGTATTAAATCAATGCAGCCGCACACTGCAACGTACACACGATATCTCTGTCTAATTCAGATCCAATATCCGATCACCACAGTACTAGTTTTCGGCCTGGCGAGCTCCGGGGAGCTCCGGCGTGGGATATCTGCTCCGCCCGCTAGTGCTATATAGATCAGCGCGGAAACACACTGCGCGTGCGGGCGCTTCCTATTGGACTTTGTACATGCGGCCGAAAACTGGTACGCTATGCCGAAAACTGACTCCGAAACAGTGAAAATTGAAATGAATATATTTCATGGCAATTCGTGATTTTTTTTCTGGGATTCTTGTTTTGTTTAAATAATAATAATATTTGCTTCATGATTTGAACAAAAAATGATAATAAATAGGAAGTAAAGGGGTCCTAAAAATAGGATTTTGTCTTGAGTGGCCGAAAACGGGCTCCTTTACTCTAATTTCTATCACCTTCTCTTATGTTATTCATTGTTTTTATTATTGTATTATTTTCTCTTCCTTTTTTTCTTACGCTGTCTTTCCTTGTTATTCTTTGTTTTCTTCTTTCTATCTACTTCTCTTATGTTATTTATTGCTTTTATCATCCTATCATTTTCTCTCTATCTTTGCAATATATTATTTCAGGGCTGTCACATTGGGGAACTGCTTCGAGGGAGATCGTATGCAATTGGTTTTGGGGCTCAACAGGATGATTGCTCACTACCCCCTTTGGTGTCTCCTCTGTATATAGATCTCTTTTCCTTCATTTTTATTCTGTTGGCGTAGCTCAAATTATTTTAACTTTGCTGTTTTTTATACTTCAACAGACTTGATTGAACCTGAAAGATAGCGATGTCTACCCTCCATAAGTTTAGCATTCGCACACCGTACCCGATCTCACGTAACAAGCTGAGCAGCAACGGCATCTACCTGGCTCTCCCATTCACAAATCTTCCATCGGAGTGTGGAGCCTACAAAGCTGGCAGTCAAAGGTTACTACTTGCTTAAATATTTTGATTGATGTTTGGCAATGTGTATTCTCAAGAAGGAAAGAAGAAGATTAAATGGGTTATTGTCTAGTGAAAGTTGTTATGTTTACTGTATCAGACAGTATACAAATGATGCACAGGTTTGAGTGCGTCGGTAGGAATTGTGTTCACAAGGTACCTTTAAAGGTGTTTAAGCCCACAAGGCGCAGCCGGGTGGGTTTTAGACCAAATCAAAGGTACCGCGTGCACAATTCCACTGACCCACAAATTAAAACTGTGATCAAGATAATGACTAAAATCTGCAACATTGTATTGTACTTTGTATGTATTAAGAAGTGCTGTAATACAATTTTCATCATGTTTACATCTCGTATAGCCCTTAGGTTGGTCGCTCACAAAAAGACGAGTGTCGGCCATTGCCTTTGGCTTTAGACACAACCCCACCACTCCTCTGCACCGCCGGGTCAGATTACATCATCGTCTGGAACGTCGAGAAGGCTAGAACGACCCATGATACAGGTAATATCTTTTTCTTTATCTCCTCTTAATGAGCATGATCTGGTAGTCACAGGCAGACACAGTCACTAAATCTCAAAGCTAGAATGCCTGTTTTTAATTCAAGTGAGCTGCTTTGTTTCATTGTAAAGGGTATCACTAAAGGAGTAAAAATTTGATAACGTAATATCAACTTAATATCAACTAACTAGGGCCTCCACAGAAACTACTGATGGAGCCACCCTACTAAAATAGACTAATAAATAAATAAATTAATAATAATGCATAAATTGTGCACGTGTCTTGAAGATAGACCAATGCCAACACTTAAACTGATCAGGCTCTGATATAAACAGATGCTGATGTCTATAAGAAAACAAAGTGTTACTGTGTTTTTCTTCCAGACTGAATAATTCTAATCATACACTTAATAAACAAAGAAATGATGTGATTGAAAAATTATATTTAAAAGGTGTTGGGTATCTTGCATTGTTTCTCTAGTAGTGAAGTAGTAAAAAATGTGATTGATTTGCATATAGGGGCTGTTCCATTGTGTAGTTGTTAAAAGTGGGAACTTGTCATGACGTTGGGGACCATGAAAATCATCTTCTAATAAAAGAGCACTTACTAATGAATTCCCACTTTATAAACATTAATCCAGGTCAGCAGATACGAGGCACTATCATTGGCACCAACTATGATGAACCTCAGTATGTTGCTTTCAATCCAGATGACAATCTAGTAGCCCTCTGTGTGGAGAATGAAGTTCTAATCCTTGATGCTCAGGTAAGAATGATTTTAATAATGATAATAATAATATGTTCATTTTATAGCGCTCTCACAAAATTATAGTAATGATAATACTCAGTTTTATATAGCGCTTATTACAATCACTAAGCGCTTCCAAACTTGGAGATTATTACCCAGCTTCAGCTGTGCTGCCATTACGGCGTTCTAGCATTTCAAATAATTAATTCCTGCCAGGTACCCATTTACATCACCTGGGTTGAGTGTGGCACAATGTAGATCAATGTCTTGCCAAAGTACAATAGTGCTGCGGCGGGTCTCGAACCGCGGACTTTGTGATCGACAGTCCGGCGACTTAACCACTAGCGCTATACAAGATATGAAGGTGGGAAAATCAGTTAAATAAATGCATCTTCAAGTGTTTGTTAAAGGTGTCTAGTGTGGGTGCTTACAGATGTTCCAGGGGCAGGGTGCATATGATTGAAAAGCATTGTCATCTGTCACTGTGGACGTACTTTAACACAGAGATAACATCCTTATGGCCACCAGGAGATCATGCCTTCCGGGAGCCATAGGGCATTATCTCTGTGTTAAAGTACATGAGTTAAAGATACTATGTCCTTTTGCAGCCAACATCAAATTCTGTAGAACTTTGCAGGAATTATGAATATGTCATGTATGTCCTATCTGTGAAATTTAAACGTTAGCAGTGTCCTAATATTCAAATTATGCAAGGAAACCCGTTTACTTGCTAGACTTCACTGTCAGACACTATTGAGTGACTGACTGGCTTTTTTTCTTCTCTGTTAATAACGTACATGAGCTTTTTGTCTACATTAATAACCCACTTCTTGTGATGGACAAAATTTAACTGATTGAATCTTTGCGCAGCATAAAAAGTATGACCGTTCGGTACAATGGTCTGAAAATCAAGACTATACTTATTGGCTCTATAGCTCCTAAGTCGATTGACAACTAATAGTCATTATTTTCCCACGTGAAGACTTTTTCAAGCCCCACTTTCCTTTAGGGAAGTTCTAAATAAGTATTATCTTTCAAATGCCATTGGAATTTACCTTTTCATTTTTTTTGGCCTGCAAATGGGACATAGTACCTTTAACACAGAGATAACGCTCTTCTGGTCCCAGGAGATGACATGATCTCTGCATGATTATTGACTTCATCGGGTAGCTGAATCTTGCACCGATGGATTTATTTTAGTCTCTTTTTAACTTTTGTAAAGAAAGAAAGTCAAAAGAAAAAGAATAGAATGAGAATCTGGATATTCCATGTTAGTTATATGAGTTAGCTGGGCCTTTTCCTCTCTGACTACTATATATACAGAGCAGAGCCCTTTTTCATGAAATTGTTATCAGTAACAAGTTCCAATAACAGTTATAACCTACTGAAATCGTGGCATTTGATTGGCTGAAAACAAAATTGCCAAAGAAATTTACATGTTATTGGATGACAAGTTTTATGAAAGAGGGTCCAAGACTAATCAGAAAGATAGAAGAATTCACTGTACGTTCATTGTGAGACATCCCCAGATTTTAGACATCTTCAGTTATTCTGTAAACCTATATTTACCCTCTAAATATAGAATATGTAAAAGAAAAAATGTAATTTTGTCAGAATATTTTTTTCCCAAATAAGAGTAATTGATCCTTCCTTGGGTAAGTACCCAGAAGACCCCATTTGGGAGGGTTCACTCTATAAATTACTGTAGATATCAAATTGGATATTTCATCTTCTTATATATTTAGAAAGAGAGACTGACCTGAGGTTAGAAGGTCACACAGCTCCTGTGACCTGTGAGAGTTTTGCCCGCATTCACGGACACCGTGGTATCAGCTTCTGAAGATAGGACATTCAAAGTAAGTCTCTGTCCACAGACAAAGAAATTTATTATTATTTATTTTAATTTTTTTTTTTTTTAATTTTGTTATTATTATTTATTTTTTTATTTTATTTTTTTTTAAATTTGTTATTATTATTTTTTTTTTTAGAGAGAATTTTAACCAGTGGTATAGCTACAGGGGTGCAAAGGGGCACCTCCTCCCCATTAGAGAATGTAGAAAAAAGAAGGAAAAAGAGAAAGAGAGAGAATTGGAAAAGGAAAAAAAGACGATAGGATCCCCTCCCACCCCATCCCTCTAATGAGAGGGCCATTTCTCGCATGAGACCTGTGCCCTCCATGGTGCCAATGCCCCTCAAGGTTAGTCTTACACTTCGCCACTGAGTTTAACCAGAAAAAGATATCATCTTATGATAATTTCAACCGTTTGAGGGCATTTAATTGAAAAGAAAGTTTGAGATGAGTTTTTGAATTGCTAACAAGCTGATAAGGATATGAAGTTATGTTGTTATTCTTATTGCAAATCAAGAAATGTCTGAGAAATATTGGCCTACACTTTAAAAGAAAGCTAGCTAGGTAGTAAAGAATTAAGAGATTCAAGCTGAAAAACTATTTTTGTTAGAAATATTCAATGTTGACTGACAAATTTCTTCTGTTCTTTCTCCGTTTTGATCTAAACAGGTTTGGGATATTGCGACACAGTGTCTCATATACCAGTCAAGCATTATATCAGGTTTGTAAGCTGAAACTTTTTGAGTAATGTAGCCCCTGCTGTTGATTAATTGAAAATGATGCTGAATATGTTTTTTGTCAGTATGTCTTTTTTTTTAAAACCATTTTTTTTAATAGGTTAAGTCTCATGCCACCTATATCATTTTATACAACACCTACATGGATCCCTGTCATTTGATTGGAGGATTGTTGGTCACATGATATTCAATAGATGGTATATTGCACGGGGGCATTTTTGGTTATATGCGCCGTGCATTTTTGGTTATATGCAGACTGCGTACCTCTCTGCCGTGCGCTCCGCGCGTATCCCTTGCGTGTATCTGACGCGAAGGCAATCTGAATGTAATCGAGAAGGCTTGAATCCAACTGAATTATCTTTAATATAAAGAGTAAAGCATAATTTGTTGATTAACGTTCTATTAGATCTTCTTCGATGTTGTAAAAACAAATAATGAATGTTTTCTTCGTTCATGGTGCGATATATTTCATTCGTTGAAAGATTAACATTAATTCTATTCAACTCGGCTGACGCCTCGTTTGAATAGAATGTTAATCTTTCAACTCATGAAAATATTCGCACCATTGAACTCATAACCATTCATTATTTGTATAATATTTTATACCATTGATGTACCTCATAAAGATCTCAACATATACATTGCTTTTCATTTTAAAAACAGGCGTTATCAACAAGTGCATAGTTAAATTTAAGTTGTTTTTCAAATATGAACAATTGTTCAAACACAATAATCCTTTTATCATACGTGCCCTGTTTGTGTTTCAGGCACTGAGGGGATGTTATTAGTCCAAATATATTGGACATTATAACTCAACATATGGGCAGGCCGGTTGATAAAAACTGCCTTCTTTCTCTTTCTTCTTCGCAGCTTCTCCATTCCTCTGTCTTGCCATTGATCCATATTCTCAATGTGTAGCCCTGGGTACAACAGACGGACAGGTATCGATAATCTCTTGCTTTCATAATTGCAAAACATAGACAAATTAATTGTTTAAAGCCCCACTGTACTACTTGTAGCTACTTGCTCCTTTTTATATAAAACAATGCCTTATCGGTGACTATTGGGTCCCCCATGATCATCTTTTTCGTATATATGTTAATTGAGACCTGAGTTGATGAGATAGTCACCTGTCAGTGACCCTCTCTGTGTGGTCTAATCCCTTCTGGCCCATAGTGCAGACAGGCTTTAAGATATTGTTTAAATTTTTTGCATAAAGATACAATATAGTGATTAAATCATGCTTAATCTTTATGTAAACCCAAATTTTTCACACCAGAAAAGCAAACTTGAATGAGAAATTGATGAATGTTAGTACTAAATATAAATTTGTTTAGTCATGCAGTGCTCATCGTATAGCTGAATGTTTTTTTATGAAATTTTTGTTATTTTCTTCAAATTTGTTGATAAAGTAAAGAAATAAAATTCCATTTCATGTAGGTAAGGATGTATGACCTATCGGAAGGAAAGGGTTTCAGATGTCTACACCACATTGACATAGCCAAGCATCTTAGGACAACAGAACAGACTCAAGGCGGAACAAAAGGTTTCAAGTACATCACAAGGTCAGTATCAATATGACTTTGACAAAATGTCATCATTCTATTCGAGGAAGCCCGCTGGCTTATATAGCAGTGGTTTCATACCGAGAGTTCTTGGGTTCGAAAGCAAATCAATGCGCTCGTACCCTTTGGCAAGGCATTAATCCTCATTACCATGTCCCTCGGAAAAGCGTCTGTCCCCTGGTTGCCTTCTTACAAGCATAAACATGCTGACTGCTTTCTTAGCAGTCAGGTAAAACAATCATCATCAACCACCAACCATATTCATTTTCACAGACAAATATATTGATATTCCATCACCAGAAACTTCAGTGGAAAAGGAAAAACTTTTAAACGCAAATGACAATGATGTCTGTTTGTTCTGTATAGTTTAGGACAGTGGTTTAGAATGTGCTCGTTGTTTGAAACCATTTCTTGATTAAAGCATAAGCAGGATGCAACATACAAATGTAAACAAAGTACATTCAGCATGGTTTGATCTTTTCTTATTACATTACAATGGATGATGAAAAGACTTGAAATAGAATAATACATTTCAAACTAGCCAACAAGCTGATAGAACCTGTTTTGAGGTACAGTAAAGTATTCTCAGAAGAGAAAATAAATGTACCGGTATGCCTATGAACTCTTTTAGAAGAATAAAAACAACCTCAAACAATTCAGTTAAATGCACACATTGCAATGATCATGAACGTACCTAAAGAATGTCCTCATTACCCTGT